AAAAAAAAATGCTATTTAGTTATAAGATTATCCTACATTTGTAGAGTTTTTTATTCTTATTTTCTTGACAAAATGACAATTGAAATTTAATTAATCTAATTGATTTTCATTGTAAGTAATTAAATTTTAATGTATGAAAACTAAAATTACAATAACTAAATCTTAATGAAATATTTAAAAAAATTCAAAAATATTAATAATTTAATGACATGAGAGCCATGTCCGACTTCAATATCTCTGTGAATCCATTCTAACTAGAGAACCGTTAATTTTAACGGAATACTGAAATGAGAATTAAACAGTGGCTTATTTGCCACCGCTCATGAGTTTAAGGGGTCAAGTGCTACTCATTTCAGTTGAGGGGCTTTTTTGCCACCTCTTGATATGTTTAGGAGGTAATTTGCATGATTCGCCAAGTTTAAAACACGGTTTAGTGTGACTTTAAGGCTTTTAAGACGTGACAATAACCAATGCCCCAACTCCAGTACTTTCCATAGGGCTCGCGGCAAGCCCTAGTTCTGGTACATGGCGTAACTAGCTGGCTTTCCTACACACTGCACTGCATGGTCTTCTAGGGGCAGAGCTGGACTGGAGCAAAATCAAAATCCGAGGTGGGTACTGAAAGATAACCCTTCCCTAACAATTCACTAGTATCAGTGTCCTTTGATTTTCTCTTTCCTTACTCTTTTCAACGTTTGGAAAAATGGGAAAGCTGGACAAAAGATTAGATCATAGATACGTGTTCAAAAGCACCTGAATGTCCGCCAGTTTATTTCATGCGCCTTTAAACTAACTCCCGCCGTCTTTGCCAGGGTACCCAACAAACCCACCTCCTAGGGTTCAATCCGGATCAAGTTTTTCTAACTTGTATCCAAATTCAAAAAAAAAATGTTTGTTCTATGGGTATATATTTTATTTTTTTTTTAAATATCATGATATTTCTGAACCAGGTTTTACTTATCTCGAATATAATATTTTTTCAATCAGTATAGGTACAGTATATATATGTTTCTGTCTGTTTAGAAGTAAGGCATACGTATTTTGAGTTTTGTCCACAAGGAGTGCTACTATCAAGTCCAAGTGTAAGTCTTACATTCAAGAACCCACAAAGACCCTCTTTTGGGACCCTCACTTTGTGTCTTTATCTACACCTTTTTGTCCTTGTTTCTTTCTAGTCCGTTTCTCCTTTCTCCCTCCTTTATATTGATGTCGTCGTCTTCTTCCGCCTCCTCCTCTGCCGCTTCTTCTTCAGCACATGGCGGTAACGGCAGTGGCAATGCCGGTACTAGCAGAGGTGTCTCCGGTTCCAGAAGAGGTAGAGGAGATTTTGAAGGCCCGTCTTCGTCTCGTCATCGACGTGAGAATAACGAGGTCTGGCCTGAACCTGTCGTCGAGGCGCTCGCTGCCCATGTCGCCATTGATGCTTTCCATTCTTTGGGCCGTCTTGCCGCCGCCGTTGCCCTTGCCAATGTCTTTCAGGTACCTTCTTCTTCCTCTTCATATTGCATAATCTTTCTTATTCCATACTTAGATTGAATTGCAGAATTTTTTTCACTGAGATATATAAATTTTGCTGTTTCATTTCAATCTATTGACATTGGGTCAAGTAGTAGTACTTAAGCAATGGTTCTGAAATTGGACAAAATGTTGGTTTGGTCAAGGTAGTGTAATTTTTTTATAGATTCTGAAATTTAGGCATTGATTTTGGGATTTTGGAATTTTGTTATCTCATCATCTTGTCTTGGAGATATATAATGGGAGGCATCCAAGGGGAGAATACTGCCTTTGGAAGGAAGACGAAAACAGAGTAAGAAGTGGGATTGTGTAGTTTGGTCTTTGAAATTTGAAATATAGGTTAGTTAAGTACTTCCTTTTTACAACTTTAGAAATGGCTATTTTTGGTTCTCTTTCCACAGCTAGAGAAAAAAGGCTTCTTTTTTCCCTTTCATAGCATGAGACTTTTTTAAGCTCTAAAAATCCTTGCTTTTTTGACTGACCATTCTTAATTACTTCTCTGTGGACGTGAGAAGGGAAAACAAAAACCCATTGGGATTCTTTTTCCTCTTTTTTGTTTTTGTTTTTTTTCTTAATAATGATAATGAAACCATAAATTCAGACAGAGACCTTTGCAAGCCTTATTACTTTAATAGTATTATAAGTTAACTGTGTTGGGAACCATGTATCATTTTTGCGCGATATGATGGAACTTTCTTACTTATATATAGCAACCTGCACTTTCGTCCTTCTGTTCTGTTCTGCTCTGATCTGTGTGCATTATATATATATATATATATTAATATATACCATAGAGATTAGGTCTCTCTCTAGGCTGGGTACTCCCCCAACTTGTAGCATGCTCGAATGCTTTGTATAATAATAATGTTTCTCATTTCTCAACATTCTTTATTTTTCCTTTTTTGACTAAATAACATTTTTTATATAATAAAGTATATATCTCAAAAATCAAAATATCTATTTAACCCTAATTCAATTAAATTATCAGGTTTCATAAGAAAAAAAATCGTTTATCAGAGAAATTTCATTTCTTCTGTAAATCCGAAAAGGATTTAGTTGAGTTATTTAAAACTTCTCTTTTTGGTTATCAGCAAGTTATTTATAACTATAATTTCGTAATCTGATTATCAGTTTTAGGTTCCAGTTTCTACAATAATTATGAATACCAATGGAAGAATTGAAATCTTATAAAAGATTTAAGTTACACAATCATAGTAAAATAACCAATCCATTAGAGAGTGCAAATTCTAATGATGGGTACATACGCCTACTTTGCCATCACAAGGAAAGATGGGTCTTAATATAAAAATTAAAATTGAAAAGCATCTATTTGCTATCACTTGATTGTTGTATTAAAGTGAGATGTCAGTCAAAGGGGCAGCATGTGCAAATTCCAAAAAGCGCATGGAGCCCAATGCTGGTTTTGTAACCTTGATGTCTCCTTGTCATCTCTTAGATAATCCCCGTTCCCTTAGTAATTGTTTGTGACTTCTCTTTTGTTTTTTTCTCCATGACTCTTGTAATAGAATCTCAGTTTCATTTCTTTTTTCTCTTCCTCCCTTTCCCTACAATTACTTTTCCACTTAATTCCCTTGTCAGAACCCCTACAACATTTTTTCCAGACAGACATAGATTCCTACAGCCTATACTTCATATTCATTTTTCTGGTAATATAAATATTGGTAGGAGTGGGTATATGTAAGGTATTAATAAGATTTGTGAGAGTTGGGTTTGGGGCATGGGAATAGGAGTCAAAGAGATTAGAGGGAGGTAACTTGGGGGAACGGAAATGAAATGAAAAGAAAGAAAAGGATGTCCACAGATTCTCTGCTTTTAACAAGACATGGCAAAGGCCAATTCTTTCTTGGAAATGAAAGAGAGAGAGACAATATTTCTGTTACAAAAAATTAAATAAATATAACAGAAACAGTATGTATAGCAAATGCACAATAGATATCCTATGTAGGATTTTTGTTTCCTGTCTTCTTTTCTTTGTCCCACATTCTGTTCGAACACTAAACCTGGTGGGATATGCTCCTTTTACAGTTAAGAGGAAGGACCACAACTTATTGTTTCTTGCATAATTGTGGGCGTATCACTAGAGGCAGTCATATTCATTTTTAAATTTCGTTTTTTTGGGATTGAACAGAAACTGAAACTATAAGAACATTCCTATGGGACATCATGGACCACAGCTCATTACAATGAGAATAATATCTGTTATATATTTTTTTCCCTTTGTAGCCGTTTTCTTTTCTGTCCCCTTTTTTTTTTTACTGCATTATCAAAAATAGATACGTATGCTATATATACAGATTTATTTTCGCACAAATATTGTACTTGCAGTACTTTATACTGGAACATATAAAATAGAATAGTAATAATAATAATATAATAATAATAGTAGTAATAGTAGGAGGATAGAGAGAGGGGCCGGGGGGATGTGCTGCTGCTGTCGTAGTCTCTCCCTGATAGTAGGATGCGTGATGAGTTTCTCATCTGTACTACTACAAGTCTAACCTATGCTATCCAACAAGACAACTCAATTTCTTTCATTGGAAAAATATACAATCTGCACACGTCTCTTTCATTATCACCCCCCTGACTAATATAATCTGTACACTTCTTTTTTATTATATCAGGCAGCCCTGACTATTTCTGACATTCTGACTTCCTGAACCCAAAACTCTTTTTTCTCACTCTCTCTTCTCTCCCCTCCTGTCCATCCCTCTTTTGTTTTTTTTTGGATAAAACCGTCCATCCCTGTTTACACATTTATAATCTTAACCTTGGAAACCGTATATTGTTTGTCTTGACACTACCTTTTTTGGCCTGATTAATAAATTTCTAAGAGCAGTGCTATTGGCACTCGCTTTCTGCACTCTCCCGCCAACACTTTCCCTTTCATTGGGCCACGTGAGCTTCTTTAAAAAGCCTTCAGCGCAATCTCTCCGGAAACTAAAATAACGTGGCCCAACAAAAGAGAAAGTGTTGGCAGGAGAGTGCAGAAAGCGGGTGCCCCTAGCATTGCTCAATTTCTAATCAATTACCCAAATCGACAAACAAGTACTTTTTTTATACGTAAATAATTTTCAGTAAATTAATATTAAGTGTACCCTAGTTAACGAATATGCTTACATGAAGCACCTGCAGCAGCTGTTGGAATGACAACGTCTTAGACCATAAATATCATTATGGTTTATAGTTAAATTTTTTGTGATATAATTTTTTTTCCTCCGATTTCTCAATGTTCATGAAAAAGAATATACTTGCCTTAATATCATAAGATATGTTTTTATTTCATGTAATAAATAAAGTTATGAAGTTTAACATACACTAAATAAAAAAAAAGAAGAAGAAGAAAAGACGAGTGTTGGCGTTAATGTGAATGTGAACTCTATTCAGAGTTGCCCAACAAATTTTGACTGCAGTAGTACTAGACATTGAAAACCCTAATTTTCAAAATGCGTCCGAATTGAAATCTATCCATCAATTGATTGTTTGAATTATTCCCATTAATTTGAGTTCATACATGCGTTTTTAGTTGAAATTTTTTTGTATTGTTTTCCCCAATAGTCATAACTCTTACGCGGTTGGTCATTGCATGCAGGTATGCTCCACGTGGCGGGCAGTTTCGCGGTCCGATCTTTTGTGGAACCGTCTGACTCGGATTATATGGGGTCGGTCCCAACTAACTCGTGCCACGTGGCGTGATGAGTACATCTTCCGTCATCGAACAGCCCTGAATTTTCGTAACGGGAGATCGTTGCATTCTACTCTCCACTTTGACCCTTCTGACGTGGACTCACCAGTCGGCCTCTTCTGCCGCTGCCTCACCTTGTCGGATCTCTATCTCGCCTGCGGATTTGCAGACGGCACCGTCCGCCTCTTCGACCTTCACACCCGCCTCCACGTCAGCACATTCAGGCCTCCACCCAAAGACCACTTTGGCCAATTCTCTCGCGCTGTATCTGGCATTATCATCTCAGACGCGAGACTTATTTTTGCCACCATGGATGGGGACGTCCACGTGGCAATAATCAACGGCGACATGCACACGTTACCGGGTCAGGTGTTGGACGACGGTGCATTAGTGGAGTTTACCGGGTGCTCCCGTTGGTGGGTCGGACTTTACGCCGGGGTTCCGGGTCAGGCTTTCCACATATGGGACAGTAACACCGAAGAGCTCGTCTTCGTCGGCGGTACATTAACAGACACAGAAGCGGTGAGGGGCTGGCACATGTTAGCAGAACCCATTAATCCAATAGGGCGAATCAGGGTAACGAGTCAGGAGTCGGCGGTGGCGTGCACGAGTCGCAGAGAAATAGTCTTCGACCTGAGAAACCAAGTCCCATTACGCGAGGAAGAGCACCGGAGGGGGCTGATCGAGACCTCATTGGACGTAAACAGCGAGGCGTACGTGGTGGCGGAAAGTCGCAGCGGCATCGCTACGGTGCGGCGGGTAGACACGCTTGAGGAAATATGCAGGTTTGGCCTAAGGCAGAGGAACGTGATCGTGATGGGGAGCATGAACCAAGGGTACTCGCTAATGTGCGCGGGGGGTGTGATACGAGTTTGGGAGGTGGAAGGCGGGCAGTACCTCTACAGCTTTCAGGAGCAAATCGGCGATGTCAACGCAATGGTGGCAGACGATAGACACGTGGCGGCCGCAGGAATGGACACGACGATACACCTATGGGATTTTGGGGCAGAGGACTAGGGGGAGCAGGGTAGGGCGTAGGGGCGGGAAATTGCTGAGGGAGGAGGAGGTTAATGGTGACAGTAGGTTGACAGTAAGGTGATGTTAGCATAATTTGCGGTCAGGAAAATGTACTTTTTTATGTGGATGGGCGTATGATACGCTGTTTTGGGGACTTTTTAGGATGAAAGTGTGTTGACTTGACTGACTTTTCCATTGGAGACTGTAACGAAGGGGTTTTTTTTTTTGAGAGAGATAGTATTGTGTCCTCTCTCTCTAGGTTCATCTTCTCCATATTTTCTTCCTTTCGGGGGAAAGAGGCAAGAAAAACTTTCGTGGTGGGGAATTTGTATGGGGGTTTATAATTGGACATTCGTAGGATTACTTCCACATATCTTTGTTCCTCCAAGAAAAATGTATTCTTTCTTTTGCAATTTTTGTAAAAGAATGCATGCTCTTTTACTAAAAATGGAAAAAATGCGTTATATTCTAATCTGGTTTCGATGGAGTGTACATTTTGTTTTTGAGCAGCGTTTTTCTAAGGGCGTGATTACAGCTGCACATTAATTATATATATTTTTAATACTATCTTAAAAATTTTTAAAAATTTTTAAGTTAATTGTATAATAAAACTATAATCCTAATTATGAAATTATTAAAATATATTTTATAAAATTCTTTTTTATATTTATTTATTAAGATTAATTTAATAATTTTAGTATTAAAATTATTCTTTTAATGTATAATCTAGATTAAATTACGTAAAACTCTTAAAATTATAAATTTTATTTAATTTATCTGTTAGAAATAGTTATTACTTAACAAATAATAAAAAATTTATATTTATTTTTTTTAATATATTACAATTTAAATTGTAGATTGATATATTTAAATACAAGAATCAATTATTTAAGAAAATATTTAAAATTTGAGTGGTGATAACATTTTTTTTTTGTAGCATAAGCACTCCCCATTTCTAATGTCAAAAATTTTTGTGAGAGGTTTTCGTATTTGTTCTAAACTTCAAGATGCTTTTTGCGCACTTCATTTATAATAAATTTGGTTAAGTTGTGTTATCAATTATAAATTTTTTTATTGATAATTAATTAAAGAAATAATGTTTATTGGCTTTATTTCTAAAAAATTAAAAGAAAAACTACTTCAAAATTTTATCATTTAAATAAATTCTCATTGAAAATTAGTAAAATACCATATTTTTAAAACATAATTTAGACTACTTTTAGTCTTGTCTTGTAGTATATATTTTATTAAAATAATATAATTTTATAATAATCTTTTTATTAATTTTTAGGAGAATTAAATTTAAAAAAATGTTTTATAATTCGAAACAGTTCGGATGATAGAAAAATTATAGATTTTATTAAATTATTTCTCTTTATAATACTTATTTGAAATCTAAAAATTATATAAAAAAAAAAGGGGGTTTGAAGGGTAGAAATAAAAGAATATTTAAGCTTATAGAGTTAATATTTTTAATTTGGAAAAATAAAGAAAAATTTTAGCTAAAAAATCTAAAAATTTAATAATTCTCTCCATCTGTGGGACGATTGTTTGTAGATTTGAGACTGTTGATAGTTTTGAACACTTACAGTGATATTTTTTTGTAGCTCTACGCATATCTATTTCTGTATTCAATAATTAAACTATACAATTACGAGTTTATATACATGTAAAATACCAAACCTAGCTAAATTAGGGCCTAAATTAATGGTCATAGAAATATTCAAGAAATAAACAACAATTTGAAACTTAAACAAAGTTTAGTTCCTTGATCTCTGAAGTATATTTGTTATTACTCCCCCTCAAGCTAAAGCATGAAGAGCACAAATGCCCAGGTTGCCATAAAGAAAGAGAAAACTGTCTTTATTCAATGCCTTGGTTAAAATATCAACAGGTTAACTGGAAGAAGAAATCCACAATGGATATAGAACAGTTGCCAAGAATTTTTCACAGACAATATGGTAGTCAATTTCAAGATGCTTCGTCCACTCATGAAACACAAGATTTGCTACTATATGATGAGCAACTTGATTATCACAATAGAGCGGCATAGGGTGAAGGAGACTAATGTCAAAAGTGGAGAGTAAGGCATGCAACCAAACGACCTTCCTAATGGTTGTGGCCGTAGCTTGGTTCTCTACTTCTATTGATGAATAAGACATAGTACCTTGCTTTTTGCTCTTCCACAAAATTGGACTATCGCTAAGAAGAATGAAATAACTTATAGTAGAATGCAGAGTTGTTACACAACTGGTCCGATTAGAATCTCAAAATGCTCATAATTGAAGAGAGCTTTGAGAAGAAAGAAGAATGCCTTACCCAAGAGTTTTCTTCAAGTAACAAAGCAAGTGATGAGTAGCATCAAGATGCGGTTTCTGAGGAGATTTCATAAACTGACTTAATATATTGAATGTTCGGTCATGTAATGGTGAGATATATGAGTTTGCCAACTAATCTCTGCTACATTGAAGGTTCTTCCAGTAAGGAACTATCAGAGGGGGGTAAGTTTCATGTTCTGTTCCATGGGAGTTTCAGCAATTAGAGTTCCCAGAAAACCAACATCATTGAGAAGATCAAGAGTGTTTTTACATTGACATAGATACATACCTTGGGAAGAACAAGCAACTTCAATTCTGAGTATTTGAGATGACCATTCCTTGAGCTTAAACCTACTTAATAAGAATTGCTTTACCTGAGTGACCCAAAGAGGATTGTTCCCATCAAATTCTATGGAGAGTGTATTCTTGTTGCTGCATATCTTATTGATCGCACTCCATCCAAGGTACTTCATAGAAAAACTCCTTTTGAAATGTTATTCCGCAAAAGTTCCTCCTTATTGTCATTTGAGTGTGTTTGGATGTCTTTGTTTTGCACAAAACACCCACATTAAACAGAAGTTCGATACTCATGCTCATCTTGTATTTTCATTGGGTATGCTTTTGGTCAAAAAGATTATAAACTTTTTTATCTTTCCACTCAACGCGTCTATGTGAGTAGAGATGTTACCTTCAATGAAAGCCTGTTTCCATCCATTTTTGTGACTAAGGATGACAGGTCTGCCTATCCCAATCTATGATCCAAATCTCATTGATTCTACTTTCTCCCCAAATAAAACATAGGAATCAACAACTTCCTCATCCATCACTCCTATTCCGTTATTAAACTTCTTTGTCATTGTCACTGCAAACATATAATAGAGTTAAACTATATTTGCACCGTGGAAAAGAAATTCTGATGTATTGTAAATGTTTGTGACTTATGCTGCATTAAGAAGATCCAATTATTCCTAGAAAACTCATCTAGAATAGTGAGGAAATAATGAGTTCCAGTAAGTGATGGAGTTGAATGTGGTCCCTAAACATATGTGTGAATTAAATCAAAACAATCTTAGTTTAGTTTTTTTTTTTTCGATACTTGGGGAGTTGTTATCTAGAAAATTTAGAATTATAAATCATATATCATGAGAAAATTTGAATAATAAATATACATTATGGTTGTTTATAATCTTGATTCAGTGGAGATATGTAGATTTTACACACCTTATATTACATTTTTAAATTATTTTTAATAGGTATTTTTTTAAAAAAATTTATTAGATATTTATTAATGACTTTTTTTAAAAAAATTTACTGGTTATTTATTTCAAAATTTTGAAGGAAATTTTGTGGATCCAACCATTTTATATATATAGTTAAAATGAGATATGAAGATTGAATTTAAATTAAATCATGAATGTCTCATATTTGTTTTTTAATCATTTTATTTTAAATTATAGTTGAAATTTGTCCAATTAATTAAAAAATAATTAA